GGATTACATCTTCCCAAAGGTAGCTGGTGGTACCATTGATGCCACAAACACCCAGCCTTTGGTTCTACTGCAACCCAGCATTTGGTGCAACCAGCATTACATTTTCTGTATCTAGTTCCCCAGTATTTGGATCAAGCACTCCAGCATTTGGTGCCTCTAGTACTTCTGTATTTGGATCATCAAGCACTCCAGAATTTGGTGCCTCAAGCACTCCGGCATTTGGTGCCTCAACTATTTCAGCTTTTGGTGGTTTGAGTACTCCTTCATTTAGTTTTGGGTCCACTCCAGCATTTGGCCAATCGACTTCTGCATTTGGAAGCAGTCCTTTTGGTGCACCTAGTCAACCTACTTTTGGTGCTTCAAGTACTCTGGCCTTTGGTTCATCAAGCTCGTCAGCCTTTGGTGGCTCAAGTGCACCTGCCTTTGGTGCCACAAACACCTCAGCCTTTGGTTCTCCTGCAACCCCAGCATTTGGTGCAACCAGCACTACATTTTCTGTATCTAGTTCCCCAGTATTTGGATCAAGCACTCTAGCATTTGGTGCATCTAGTACTTCTGTATTTGGATCATCAAGCACTCCAGAATTTGGTGCCTCAAGCACTCCGGCATTTGGTGCCTCAACTACTTCAGCTTTTGGTGGCACAAGCGCACCTGCCTTTGTTGCCACAAACACCCCAGCATTTGGTGCAACCAGCACTACATTTTCTGTATCTAGTTCCCCAGTATTTGGATCAAACACTCTAGCATTTGGTGCCTCTAGTACTTCTGTATTTGGATCATCAAGCACTCCAGAATTTGGTGCCTCAAGCACTCTGGCATTTGGTGCCTCAACTACTTCAGCTTTTGGTGGTTTGAGTACTCCTTCATTTAGTTTTGGGTCCACTCCTGCATTTGGCCAATCAACTTCTGCATTTGGAAGCAGTCCTTTTGGTGCACCTAGTCAACCTACTTTTGGTACTTCAAGTACTCCGGCCTTTGGTTCATCAAGCTCGTCAGTCTTTGGTGGCACAAGCACACCTGCCTTTGGTGCCACAAACACCCCAGCCTTTGGTTCCACTGCAACCCCAGCATTTGGTGCAACCAGCACTACATTTTCTGTATCTAGTTCCCCAGTATTTGGATCAAGCACTCCAACATTTGGTGCCTCTAGTACTTCTGTATTTGGATCATCAAGCACTCCAGCATTTGGTGCCTCAAGCACTCCGGCATTTGGTGCCTCAAGCACTCCGGCATTTGGTGCCTCAAGCACTCCGGCATTTGGTGCCACAAACACCCCAGCCTTTGGTTCTACTGCAACCCCTGCATTTGGTGCAACCAGCACTACATTTTCTGTATCTAGTTCCCCAGTATTTGGATCAAGCGCTCCAGCATTTGGTGCCTCTAGTACTTCTGTATTTGGATCATCAAGCACTCCGGCATTTGGTGCCTCAACTACTTCAGCTTTTGGTGGTTTGAGTACTCCTTCATTTAGTTTTGGGTCCACTCCTGCACTTGGCCAATCAACTTCTGCATTTGGAAGCAGTCCTTTTGGTGCACCTAGTCAACCTACTTTTGGTACTTCAAGTACTCCGGCATTTGGTTCATCAAGCTCGTCAGTCTTTGGTGGCACAAGCACACCTGCCTTTGGTGCCACAAACACCCCAGCCTTTGGTTCCACTGCAAACCCAGCATTTGGTGCAACCAGCACTACATTTTCTGTATCTAGTTCCCCAGTATTTGGATCAAGCACTCCAACATTTGGTGCCTCTAGTACTTCTGTATTTGGATCATCAAGCACTCCGGCATTTGGTGCCTCAAGCACTCCGGCATTTGGTGCCTCAACTACTTCAGCTTTTGGTGGCACAAGCGCACCTGCCTTTGGTGCCACAAACACCCCAGCCTTTGGTTCTACTGCAACCCCTGCATTTGGTGCAACCAGCACTACATTTTCTGAATCTAGTTCCCCAGTATTTGGATCAAGCACTCCAGCATTTGGTGCCTCTAGTACTTCTGTATTTGGATCATCAAGCACTCCGGCATTTGGTGCCTCAAGCACTCCGGCATTTGGTGCCTCAACTACTTCAGCTTTTGCTGGTTTGAGTACTCCTTCATTTAGTTTTGGGTCTACTCCTGCATTTGGCCAATCAACTTCTGCATTTGGAAGCAGTCCTTTTGGTGCACCTAGTCAACCTACTTTTGGTGCTTCAAGTACTCCGGTCTTTGGTTCATCGAGCTTGTCAGCCTTTGGTGGCACAAGCGCACCTGCCTTTGGTGACACAAACACTCCAGCCTTTGGTTCTACTGCAACCCTAGCATTTGGTGCAACCATCACTACATTTTCTATATCTAGTTCCCCAGTATTTGGATCAAGCACTCCAGCATTTGGTGCCTCTAGTACTTCTGTATTTGGATCATCAAGCACTCCGGCATTTGGTGCCTCAACTACTTCAGCTTTTGGTGGCACAAGCGCACCTGCCTTTGGTGCCACAAACACCCCAGCCTTTGGTTCTACTGCAACCCCTGCATTTGGTGCAACCAGCACTACATTTTCTGAATCTAGTTCCCCGGTATTTGGATCAAGCACTCCAGCATTTGGTGCCTCTAGTACTTCTGTATTTGGATCATCAAGCACTCCGGCATTTGGTGCCTCAAGCACTCCGGCATTTGGTGCCTCAACTACTTCAGCTTTTGCTGGTTTGAGTACTCCTTCATTTAGTTTTGGGTCTACTCCTGCATTTGGCCAATCAACTTCTGCATTTGGAAGCAGTCCTTTTGGTGCACCTAGTCAACCTACTTTTGGTGCTTCAAGTACTCCGGTCTTTGGTTCATCGAGCTTGTCAGCCTTTGGTGGCACAAGCGCACCTGCCTTTGGTGACACAAACACTCCAGCCTTTGGTTCTACTGCAACCCTAGCATTTGGTGCAACCATCACTACATTTTCTATATCTAGTTCCCCAGTATTTGGATCAAGCACTCCAGCATTTGGTGCCTCTAGTACTTCTGTATTTGGATCATCAAGCACTCCAGCATTTGGTGCCTCAAGCACTCCGGCATTTGGTGCGTCAACTACTTCAGCTTTTGGTGGCACAAGCGTACCTGCCTTTGGTGCCACAAACACCCCAGCCTTTGGTTCTACTGCAACCCCAGCATTTGGTGCAACCAGCACTACATTTTCTGTATCTAGTTCCCCAGTATTTGGATCAAGCACTCCAGCATTTGGTGCCTCAAGCACTCCGGCATTTGGTGCCTCAACTACTTCAACTTTTGGTGGTTTGAGTACTCCTTCATTTAGTTTTGGGTCCACTTCAGCATTTGGCCAATCAACTTCTGCATTTGGAAGCAATCCATTTGGTACAACTAAATCGCCCTTTGGAGTTCAGAGTGCTCCATTTGGTGAGTGATTTATCAGTGTACTGAAAGTTTCAATTCTGCAAGTTAATAAACCATGAGGAATTTGGCCACCCAATTGGTCATTGTTTATTTCTACTGCTTTTACTGAATTTCTGCCCTTGTAAACTGTCTTGCAGGAGCCCAGGCTACAACACCAACATATGGGAGCTCTGGTTTTGGACAGTCAGCTTTTGGAGGCCACCGAGGGGGAAGTAGAGTGGCTCCCTACACGCCAACACTTGAGTTAGATAGTGGCACAGGTACACAGCCTGGTGGAAAGCTGGAGTCAATAGCGGCTATGCCTATTTATGAGGATAAAAGCCATGAAGAACTCAGATGGGAGGACTATCAATTGGGTGATAAAGGTGCTTTACTTATTGTGTGTAGAAATCTCGGACTCATACACACCTCATTGCCTGCCATGTTAATTATAATATTTTTAATCTGATTTCAGGAGGGCCAAGTCCTGGTCAGTCTGCTGATGCAATTGGATTTGGCGCTTCTAGCACATAGTCAAGTCCATTTGCTTCGTCGTCAACATTTGGTCAGATATCTGCAAATCCCTTTTCATCCTCAACATCTTCCAACCCTTTTGCTGTGACACCCCAAAATTCGGGTGTCTGTAATTATCTTGTTGATCACCCGTTAACCTGCGGAATATCCGTAGATATCGTGTGACTCAATACCTCGCCGTTATGTCCTATTTACCAGAATCTATAACTTAACAAAATTAGGGTAGAATTTCCTTTGTACGGGGAACTCTACTCAAAACACAATTAGTGCAATCATACAACATTGATCACACTGGGTCTATATATCTATACTCATAATAACATGCAATTTTACATTAAAAACAGTCCATATGAATTCGATTACAATCCTTTACATACATTACGTGCTCAAAAACTAATTGACATCTTAGTTTGACGAAAACATAGTTTAAAAGTCATATATCGGCTTTTCTTCATCAATGAGAGCCCGAATGAGAGCCGTCCACCGGCGCATGTCCCGCACCTGAAATATTGTCCCCATAAAGGGTGAGCCACGCTCAATAGGGTATCTCCTACAGAGCCTACTTTCCAACTTAGATGCATATGAAATGTTCACATACAATTTATAAGCAACAATCACTCCATTCAAAAATATGCAATTTAACAATGGAATCTTCAATGCCATGCCATGATGTGAGATGAGACTCACACATGCAATTCAACCCGAGCCTTTACCGCTCCCTCAATACATGCAATATCATGCATATGAATCTGGGCATTCTAAACTCCCGTCATTGATGTTACACATCCAATGATCTTTTTAAATTCCGGGTCTTTTTTGGAGTCGGTATTTATGGACTCATATCAACAGGCACCTCAACCGACACGGCATTAATGAACTTTTACCAATGGCTCCGTGTACGCTGACATACTTTATGGACTCAATATCAACAAAGTGCATATCCAAATCACTGGGTCTTGCATCCGAGGGAGAATTTAGTACTTCTTGCTAACCTCGACTCTATTTTCAATATAAAACTGTGTGATTTAACTGAACCTCGGTCCAACTATCGCGAACCCACGTATCATTCACCAAGAGTGGTTTTTGATCAAATCATGTACACACACCCACAGTTATGTCAAACGCTCACGAATGTGATGCTATCCGTGCATATGTAATATAAATGAACAATTGTATTTCATGTTGTTAAGTTGAGAGAATTAACACAATATTAGAAGAAACGGAGAATGGTCAAACTTAACTTACCTCTCATATATCACTTGTATTTATAGTTAACTTACAATAATAAGAAAGACAAATACACCCTTTTATATTTACACATAATACCCTAATACTCTTAACAGTCTACACATAATACCCTAATACTCTTAATACTCCCTCTCAAGATGGACTATATATATCTATATTACTTTTGAATGTCAACAAAAGTGAAAAACTTTTGTTTGACTAAAATAACTTTCACAAAATAGTTATTATCTATCATATCTTTTGGTGTTAATAGCATTATTAAATTAAATTATATGTAATCTATCTATATTATCTATATCTCTATCTCTACTATATCTCTATCTATATATTATATCTATATCTATATCTATCTATACTAATCTAAAATGTTTTTTTAATTTCAAAACTTAGTTTTCTTTTTTACCCCCTAATAATGCAATTTGGTAAATGGTCATTGAACTAATGTTATTGATGCTTGCTGCGTTTGCTTCCACAGCGCACCCCTTCATCTCTCTCTCTCTCTCTCTCTTTCATTCAATAGTAAAAGCTATCGGCTGAGTTCTCCACCTTTAGGGTAACGTTTGCTGGTGCATAACCTCTAACAAATATGTCTCCTTGCTTCTCTCTTTTAATAGTATGCAACTTATTGTTGTGCTTCTACAGATTCTAGGAATTAATGATTGAAGAAGTAATGACTTTCTTTCTCTCTCAAAAACACATTGACTTGCGGAACGAGTAGTGTCCTGCCTGCACAGGTACTGGTTTTTTCTCTTTTTTTTTTTGGTTATAAGATACATGTTATTTCATTTGTTTATGCTTGATGATTGAATATATAAATGAATTCAAAATTCTTAAGCCACCTTGTGGTGGCACCATTACTTCTCATTCTCTCTTGGCAGCAAAAAAACTGAAGAACTTGGTGCATGATTGTACATTTTCAACTCTATGCTTGTAGGGGTTGTGTATTGTCTCAATTGGAATCAGTAACTCTGTGACTCACTACATATACTCAGCGCTATTATGGTGTGTTAGGACTCTAATAATTTAGAATGTAGGCTGTAGCTAAGGGAGTATTTTTATGTCTGGAACCAATTAATATATACACTTTATAATTGTAATTTAGGAGGAAAATTCTATGAAATCTTTGATTCTCTATGTTGTTTTTAAAACTGTCTGTGATTCGCATATCTATCATCTTGATTTACTTGCCCTTTGTCTCATCTGCTATCTGTCAGGGAGACTTTGTTAATTGAAAAAAGATTATCTAAAGCATTTTGTTGTTTTGTTTTTAGATATGTGCTTTTGAAAGGAGCCTGCTTCATTGGATGTTATTGATGTTTTCTTTGAAGGTATGTAATACATTTGTTGGAAATCTTGAGTCGATTCACTGTTTTTTCTTTTTGTTCTTAGGCGTTTGTATTGTGATGTGTAATTAAGACATTCTCCAAATTTTATCTTATAGATGAGAATTCTTTGAGTTGTGTTTACTATGCATAAAAACTTGAAATATTCATGGGACTTGTTGCACTTCAGTTTCATCTGTAGAATATCTAGTGAAAGGTTCTCCAATGCTTTCACTTGTAGGGTGGAATTGTCACAAAGCTTAGTCACATGGATAATTCGTCATTAGATTTTGCAATATGATTGTTTGTTTGGGATCAAATAATTAACTATGATGAAATTTGAAAAATAAGAGTCCAAGAAATAAAGTTGTATATCCTATATAAAAAAAAAATACATTTATATAAACCATTTGGGTCGCAACATGGGTTTGTTCTCAGGTGGCTTTTGGAGAATGAAATGGTTGGTTGATTTTGGAATGAGATTTTGGATTGTTGGGCAAGTGATTTTGTGATTGAAATTGTTATCAATTGTTGGTTTTAGCGTTAAGTGGAGTCAAATTTATGGCTTATGAACTCAATTTACTAGGATATATTTGGACTGATATTGTTTTACTGGTGGTGTTGTTTGATCATTTATATTTGAGCTCACTCGAAGATAATTTTGTGATGATTAATAAAGTAGTAATCTATATTTGGTATTCTTTTTGGGAGAGTTGATATTTTTTTTTATCAATAAGAATTGATTTTGTCAAGGGATTATATATATATATATTTTTAAAGTTTTTTGTTACATCCATAGTGTGATTTGGTGTGGCAGAATACTTTGAGGGTAGGTACACAAGGCAAAGGCACTGTCGGGAATATGCTTCGAGTGGCAATATCCTTAAGGATGATGCATGTTCAAGACCACCTCCTCCATCGCCATCATTTCCAAGGACCCAAACATGGCTTGAGATTGTATGAAATCTTAGTATGTTATTGCTCAAAAGCAATTCATGGTGATAATAATTTGTGTTTTTCACTGAAATTTTGCCTTGTTGCAGTAGTGGCGCATTTCTTCTTCTTCATATTAAAGTCATCTTTTCTTCTAATAAATGTTAAGATGTCTTAAAGAATTTGGTCACACACATCTCAATCTACCATAATAAGGATGTGTCCTCTTTTGCGGTTAATTTGCGTTCTCATGAATTTATTTGAGTGTCATAAAGGCTAATACTTTGTAAATCTAAAGACCATGTTCTTTTTAGTTGAGATAAGAATTAGCATGTTTTGTGTGTATCCATTGCTATCAAAGAAATCAATAGAGTTAAAGCATTGAAATGTATGTGTAAAATACAAATAAATGGGAAAAATTCTTGCAAAATTCTAATTTTTTTTAAATAAATCAATCAATTGGAGTTGAGATAAAATGTAAAATAATCTTCAAAATCAGGTAAAACTTGATTTTGTGGTTGGAAAGTTGTTATTTTGTGATCATAGTAATAAAACTTGATTTTGTGGCAAGAAATTTGTTATTTTGTGATTATAGTAGTTGAGCCTGCAAGGTGTTTCTCAATTTTTTTCAACATAATATGTTTTTCTAATCTTTCGAGATTGGTAAATTTTATGGAATAGATAATTGTGATTGCAGACTCATATGCCATAAATATTATTTTGTGGAGATATATTAATTTAGACAATGCATTGAATTTATAGTTTACTTTTCTAAAAATGGGCTCTTGGCTATACTGAATGTCACTAACACATCTTCATTGTTGAATATATTGTCACCACATTGGCGTCAGACGAAAACTAACATGAATATGGTACCTAAATTTTCTGCAGCAGCCATAATTTGGCAGAATCTAAGGAAACTATAACAATTCTTGGTTGGGTGGAGGGTCCTAAAAAATGTAAACAAGAGAAAATTACCTCCTTTCTTTTAGGGGGTTTTGTTGGAAAACAACTAAGGAAGTAGCTTTCAATTATTTGCTGGGAAATAAAAATTTTCTTGTGTTCCCTTGTGCACAAACTCTTTTATGTTTTACATGCTCCATTTAATCTGCATATTTTTTATTTCTTTGATTACTTTGATTTTTTTTTAATGTTTTTACCAACTTTTTCTTATATTTAGATAAGAGGATTAAATAATGAAACATCAACCAACTCCTTTAGGAAAATAAAATAATTTCAAATGTCTTTCTCTATTTTTAGTGATCCATCATATTGAGGTAACCGTAACAGACGACTAGGAACAAGATACTCTTAAAATTTTCTTAAAATTTGACCATTACCCGCCCCATTGTACCTACAATGATATTGCTTGAGTAGGTTTCACAAGACTTGGAATAAAGGTTGGATTTCTTTAGTTTAATATTTTCAAAACAAAATCCTCCAACATATTAAGGCAAAGTAATGATATCAATGAAAAAGTGAAAACCACAATTTTAACTCAAAAATGGTCCACGTGCGACACACGTTTGTATCAACTAATATCATATAATCTAAGTTTGGAACAAATTGTTGTAAGACGTGTACGACTCCATGCTTTGGTAAACATATCTACAAGCTGATCTTTAGATTTCAGAGTCGTAATCTCCCCAGCTACTATCTTGTCTCGAATAAAGTGACAATCAACGTCACTATGTTTGGTTCTCTTGTGAAGCACTGGATTGACAGCCATATGGATAGTTGCCTGGTTGTCACAAAACAATTGTAAAGGCGGTTGAACTGGAAATTCAATTTCTTGGAGGAAATGTAGTAGCCAAGTCAACTCACTCGTCGTATGCGTCATTGCCCTATACTCAGTCTCAGCACTAGATCTGGTTACCACGAATTGTTTCTTATTTTTCTATGAGACGTTACCTCCTAAGAGAGTACAATAACTAGTGGTTGATCTCTGATCAGAAAAAGAGTTAGCCCAATCAGCATCTGAGAAATTTTTCACTCTAAAATATCTATTAGCTTGATATAACAGTCCAAGTCCCAGAGTACATTTGAGATATCGTAGAATACGAGTAACTATCTTCCAATGTGGTACTCTAGAATACCCCATGAACTGACTTACTATACTAATTATATAGGAAATATCCGGTCGAGTAATAGTGAGATAATTAAGTTTCCTAACTAATCTGCGATACTGACTCGGATTCTTAAACAGTGTATCATCATTCATCAATAATTTTTGATTCAGATCCATAGGAACATCAATCGGTCTGCACAACAAACCTGCTTCCTCTAGCATGTCAAGTACATATTTCCTCTGGGATAAACAAATATCCTGTTTAGATCGAGCCACCTCAATACTCAAGAAATACTTGAGTTTTTTCAAATTCTTAGTATGAAATCGATCCTATATGAAGATTTTTAACTTGGCAATCCCCTCAGAATCATTTTCAGTAATCATAATATCATCTACATAGACCACTAATAAAACATATTTAGCATCCGTCTATCTATGAAACACAGAATGGTCTGTCTGACATCGAAGAAAATCAAACTCCAAATGTGCATCTGAAAACTTACTAGACTATGCCCTTGGTGATTGCTTTAAACCATACAAAGATTTCTTTAACTGACATACACTTTTACCATACTTCCCCTGAGCAGTAAATCCAGGTGGCTACTCCATGTATACCTCTTCAACCAAGTCACCATGTAGGAAGATATTCTTGACATCTAACTTAAACAAGGGCCAATCAAGATTAGTAATCAAAGAAATCAAGATACGAACAGAGAAAATTTTGGCAACAGGAGAGAAAGTCTCTTCATAATCAACACCATAGGTCTAAGTAAAGCTCTTTATAACAAGTCGGGATTTGAGACACTCCACAGAACCAGAATGAAATTTAATAGTATACACCCAACGACAATCAACAGTTCGTTTACCAGGAGGTAAAAAAATGAGATTCTAAGTCTCATTATGATGTAAGGTATCCATCTCCTCCTCCATAGCTTTCCTCAAACTTGGATCAGATAATGCATCTTATAAGTGCTTAAGAATAGATATAGTAGATAATTGAGGGGTAAAACAAGAGAAAATAGGAGACAAGGCATCATATAAAACAAAATGAGCAATAGAATGATTAGTAACACACGAACGAGTACCTTTTCGAAAGGTAATAGGTAAAAAGTCTAAATTACCTGATGTACCAGGATCAAAAGACGGCAAGGAAGACGGTATAGACACCCTAGTTGATGGGAGAGGACAACGAGAGTATACACAAAGAGGTAAAGTAGATGGTAACACAGTAGGTAGCGGAATGTCCAAAGATGAGGGAAGAGATGGTGGTACAAGAGACGAACCAAAGTTCAGATCCAAAGGTTGAGCCGGTGCCAAAAAATATAGAACAAATTTCTCAAACGTGACATTGGCACTAGTAAAGTATCGTTGCAGAGAAGGACTATAGCAACAATACCCCTTCTGTGTGCGGGAGTATCCAAGAAATACACATTTGGTAGATCGAGGGTCTATTTTATCAAACCCGGGGCCCAAATTGTGAATATAACAGACACATCTAAAAACCTTAGAAGTTGGGAAAAATAAAGTTTTACCAGTAAAAAAGACAGAATATGAACTTTGCTCATTTAACATAGAGGATGATATATGATTAATAAGATGACAAGCAGTAAGAATAACATTACTTCAAAAATATCGAGGAATGCTCATCTGGAATAACAGGGCACGAGTAACTTCTAATAAATGACGGTTCTTGCGTTCAGTAACACCATTCTATGGAGAGATGTAAGCATAGAAAGTCTGATGAATAATGCCAGTTTTACTAAGATAAGTTGAAAAAGGATCAGATTTATATTCTCGAACATTATCAGAACGTAAAATACGTATACGACAACCATATTGAGTTTTTATTTTCTTGCGAAAAATCTCAAATATAGAGAATAATTCAGATCGAGCTTTCATCAGAAACAACCATGTCACACGAGACAAATGACACAAAATAAGGATATTTATTAGATGAAATATTCTTTATTGGACCTCATACGTCAGAATGTACTAACTCGGACTAGACACACGTATTGACTCTAGACTGAAATGACACACGTTGATGCTTACTAAGTTGACAAGTTTCACAAGACAAAGACGACACATAACTAAGACTGAAAACTTAGCGTTTTAGATTCTAGAGAGAGGGATGTCCAAAACGACAATGCCATTGAAAAGGAGACAACGAGGTCTTTAGAGCCCGAGTAAGTGAATCAAAATTAAAATAATATAGGCCAAAGCGAACCGAAAGGACTAAGGTTCTTAACGCCTAGGCGAGAAGCGAACAGTTAAAAAAAAATTTAGTTTAATTACTTCTAAACATCTAAGTTCTAATTATATATATATTAAATATTTAAATACAAGTAAAATCATAAACATTTAAATTAAAACAAACACTAATAATATCTCAAATCTTAATAACAGTCATAACTTAAATCTTTAAATTCAAACAAACAGTAAGGATTACAAAACTATTACACTACTGCTAATCAACACTATCACACTACTAATAAAATCAGCACTACTACCAGTGAAATCATCAAGTTCAAATGCATTACAGAAAAATTAGAATTAGCGTAAATCAGCATTCATCGTTATGAAAAATTAGCATTTAGGATTATAAAAAATCATCTTTCATTATTACAGAAAATTAGCATTCAGGATTATAAAAAATCAGCATTCATCATTACAGAAAATCAGCACAACTATCAGCAAAATAGTATTACAGAAAATCAGAATCATCAACTGTACAAAATTAGAAGTAGAAAAAAATAGTAGAAGCAGAAGCAAAAAAAACAATAGAAGTAGAAGTACAAGCAGAAAAAAAACAAAAGTAGAAAAAAAAACAAATGCAGAAGCAGAAAAAAAATTGTAGAAGCAGAAGTAAAAAAAAAAATCGTAGCATCAGACAATCAGCAAAAACAGAAAAAAAATAGTAGAAGAAAAAAAACATAATCAAAAGCGAGAAGAAGAATCAAAACTAGAAGAGAGAAGAAGAACCAGAGAAGAAGTAGAGAAACAGAAGAGAGAAAAGAAGCAGCAACAGAAAAGAAGAACCAGAAATTGTAGCGAGAAGAAGAAGAGAAGAAAAAGAGGAGACAAACCTGTGTGGACTAGCGAGGAAGGAGAAGAAGCAGTTGTCATCTTTGACTAGCGAGGAAGGAGTAGTAATAGCAGGCAGTCTTTGTTTGACCCTTTGAGCAAAATTAGGGTTTGGGTGTTGTATTTATGGGATAAGGGGTAATTGGGTGTATGGGCATCTTATAATTTTTTTTCGATGCCCAATTCAATGGTCCATAATAAAAATAAACAATCTAAGACAACCTCGTCTCGCATAACTAAGACGCTTGCTTTTTCCTCATTTCAGACATATTTGCTTTGCCTGGGTGCTTAAGGTGAGAGACCCTTGCTTCACTTCGCCTCTCGTCTAGGTGAACTTTTCAAAACACTAAGCAAGAGTAACACTACGTGTGGAAGTAACAAGACTAATAAGTAGAAAAAACATCAGACGCACCAGTCATGTGGTCAGAAGCGACAGAATCTATGATTCAGGGACTGCGAGTGGAGGACAATAAACAAGCGGAAGTAGGATTTGACTGGACAAAAGTAGTAGTGGAGGGAGATGGAACAGCCTGTTGGGATAGGAATTGAGCATACTCCTCTCGTGTAATAGTAACCGACCCAGTGTCTAGTGGAGCTGACCGAGGTATGGAAGCAACAACAGAGGTGTCATCTTGATAGGAAGCCTGATTCGCAGCACTAGAAGGTTTTTCATGTAAATCCCAATAGAAATCAACAGTATGTCTTCCACGGCCACAGTGAGTACAGGAACGAGGTCTACTACGGCCCCCACGACCACTCGTATGACCTCCTGTATGACTTCCTCAACCACGACGACCATCACGTCCATCTCGATGACCATCACTATGGCTACTAGGAACCATAAGAGCTGAGCGATTAGTGGAGACACCATGATCGATGCCTGAAGTAGACAAAGTAGCACGCTGTACACGAGAGAAAACTTCAATGAGTAAGGGAAGACTAGAACCACCCAAAATCTTTGAACAAATAGCCTCATATTCAGGTTTCAATCCTACTAAAAATCTAACAATATTCAGGTCCTCATGTTGTTTCTGTCAAATTGCTGCATTAGTAGTAAATGGATGGTAGGTTTTCATCTCCTCACAGACTCTCCGAACGTGAGAGTAATAATCCTCAATGCTCAAAGTACCCTACTCCAGCCGGAAGTACTCCTTGCACACCTTATAAGTTCGGGTAAAATTACTTATACTAGAATACATAGTGGGCAAGTGATCTCATATCTCTTTGGCAGTGTCAAGATAGAGCAGAGGAGAGCTAATACTAGGCTCAATACTATTCAACAATAAAGAGATAATCTGAACATCCTTTTGTTCTCACTGATCATACCTAGGAGTGTCTTCCTTGAGTTTAAGATTAATCAAATATCTTAAAATCTTTGCCTCGAAGAATGATTTGAACGGAGCGGGACCATAAAGTGTAATTGGTCCCATTGAGTTTAACAGAAGTCATGAGACCATTAAGAAGAATCGGAGAAGTAGATGTAGGTGGTAAAGATCCAGCAAGGGTGTTAGCATCTTGCTTGGCTTCCATAACAGTGCAACAAATAGCAAACAAGAGAGTCTTACTGGTTGATTGGGTTGCTGGATGACTGAACTAATCAAGAGGAGTGCACTGGACTGTTGAACCGAACTGGGAGAGTTCACTGGCCTGATGAACCGGACAAGAAAAGTCCGCTGGATTGCTGAACTAGACAAGGGAGGTCCACTGGACTGCTGAACCAGACAAGAGAGGTTTACTGGACCGCTGAACCAGAGAAAAAATAGATGAAACCGGTCTGAACCGGTGTAATCCTTATTGAACCGGGACTAAACCGATGCAAACCTTACTAAACCGAGATTGAACCAGACTTGGACCGGTCTGGTATGCACGTTACTGAATTTGGGCTTGGATTTGGATTTGAATCTGTCACCCAAACCTCCAATCGACCCAACTTGAGTGGGTCGTCTTCTTCACCAACAAACCCTAATTTTACTTCATTGTCAACGACGCTAAGGGAAGCCACCAATGTCGACCACACCAGTCGATGATGCTGATGTCCAGTAACTACCGTCACCACCAGACGAAGTCACTGATATCGATGACCAGCAACTGCAAACGTCAGCCACACCACCACGCAGCAGTCGACAGCGCCACACCACCACACCAGTCGATAGCACCTCACATCCAACACCAACCAGCGACTACCACCAGCACCAGACACCACACAACTGCGATTGAACAAGAAACCACCAACGTTGACAGCGCTGTCACACTCGACCATTAACTACCACCACCACTAGATGAGGAATTTTGACAGTAGGCACAACAACGACAAACGGTGACAACTTGAGTTAATATTTGGATTTAGAATTGTTTTGCTCTGATACCATGTTAAGTTGAGAGAATTAACACAATATTAAAAAAAATGGAGTGGTCAAACTTAATCTACCTCTCATACATCACTTGTATTTATGGTTAATTTACAAGAATAAGAAAGACGAATACACCCTTTTATATTTATACATAATACCCTAATACTCTTAACACATGTCATTATGCAACTAAGATTTCAATTGCAATTACAATACTATGTTCAATATGTCATGAGCACATTATGAATAATTCAATATCCAACAACTTTTTTCATAGTGAATTACATCATAAACATATAACTACCATAAATAACCTTAATGTCAATATATTATATACATATATTAATATTTTTCAACATCAAATTCCAAGCATGTTATAATATTATCAATACAAATAACGCACTTAATCTACATAGACATTTAATCAAACACCTTCAAGGTACTAAATCATGTAAATATATAATATGTCCAATTTCATCACATATCTCAAGAAATCACAACAAGTAATTTCTACATACCCAATTCATGTTAGAATTGATTTGAACCATTCTTAATACCCATTTTCGATGTTTCAAGTACCATGGGTAAGTACGAAACATGAGATTACATCTCTAACACCTTATCCTTTTCATATATATTCTAAGCATGTTATAACATAATGTAAATAACAAACTTAATCTAAATAGGCATTTTATCAAACACATTGAAAGCACAAAATTATGTAATACATATTATGCCCAAATAACCACATTTTTCAAGAAATCACAACAAGTAATTTCTATATACCCAATTCATGCTTAATACCCATTTTTCACATTTCAAGTACCATATGTAAGTGCTAAACATGGGATTACATCTGTAACACTCTACCATTTTCATATATATTTCAAGTATGTTATAACATAATCAATGCAAATAACAAACTTAATCCAAATAGACATTTTATCAAACACCTTCAAGGCACAAAATTATGTAACACATATTATGCTCAAATAATTGCATTTCTCAAGAAATCACAAGAGGTAATTTCTACATACTCAAATTCATGCTAGAATTGATTTTAATCATTCTTAATACTCATTTCCAACATTTTTTTTTGATCAGGCATTTCCAACATTTCAAGTACCTATATTTTTCATGAATTTATCAAACAAGTAAATTCTATAAACTCAATTCATTCAAGATTAGTTTAACATATTTCTATACTCATTTTCCACACTTTATTTACGGTAGGAGTACATTAAATACGAGAATTAATCTCAAGTCATGCTACCCATATCATATGGAACCCTAGGTTGAAAATAAACCTAATTAGGAAAAGAACCTTACCTCTTGAAGTGTAAAACAATGGCAGGAAGCTCCAAGAACCCGAAACAAGCTCTAATCTAAGTTTTTTTCTCAAAATCTTGTCCTTGGAATTTCTCTCCTATTTACACCCTTTAAATGCTTAATACTCATGGCTGCACACGTTCTCTATTTTCGAGTCCGATTTCATCCCAAAATAATTAAATTTCGTCCCGATTCAAGTTCAAAATATTTTTATATGAACTTCTTTTAAATTATTTTTAAACTTTCAAAATTTTATTCCATATTTCGTTTTTAGGTCACGCGACATCCGATCGTCTTGTAAAATGCGAAAAATCTCACTGTCTCGGAATTCGACAAAAATTTACTGGGTAACTAAATTTCGCGAGATGAATCCAACAATGAGGTATGTTTCGTCATTCGAGTTCTAGAAAAATTTGGGTTTTTAATCCGTATTGTAGTGAAAAATTACCGTTTTGCCATTTTTCATAAAAATTCAAATTTACCCGATTTTACAGGTTTTGGACAGTCAGCTTTGCTCCAAAAACCCCAGCCTTTGGCAGTTCCGGCTTGGGATCCACATCTACTCCTGCATTTGGTTCTTCACCCTTTGGGTCAACTTCATCAGCAACACCCTCCATATTTGGTTCAACTCCTGCACTTGGAGCCAGTACCTCCCCATCTCCTTTTGGATCATCAAGCTCATCTGCGTTTGGATCATCAACATCTGTTTTTGGTTCTTCATCAGCTCAGGGAACAACTCCATCATTTGGTTCTGGCTTAAGTTTTGGCAACACTCAGTCATCCCCACTGTTCCAGTCAAGTACACCTTCACTGGTACCGGCAACTCCTGCTTTTGGACAGACTACCTTCTCCTTTGGACAGAGTACTCCAGCGTTAGGGCAATCAAGTGTATTTAGTACACCTTCTACTGCATTTTGGGGGGAATTTGTTTTCAAGCACTCCATCTCTGCTATCTACAAGCAACCCATTAAGATTTGGTCAAACAACCGTAAGTTAATTATACTTTTTTTGGTGCTGCCTTTTCAGCAAATTTTCAATTGAGAAAAGGCACAAAGTTGAATGGCAGGGTAGACCAAATATAGTTAGGACCAGGCCTTTTCTAGTTTAGTTGAGATTGATAAAATGCACAAGGTATGTCAGGAGAGACTTCAATTATGTTACATATGTTGCAATTGCTTATTAACAATATCAATCCTGTACTTGTTAGTGTTGGAAACTAGGAAGCTCTTGATACCAGGGGACCGGATCTAGCAAAGCAAAATGTTTGGTTATGTGGATTTGGTTGTATTTTCAACTATTATTGCAAGAAAAATGGTTTTGGTGACTCCAACCCTCTCTGTTTGACATGTGGCAGAATTGGTCTAGCATTCTTGAGTGTTGATGCATTGGCATGTGGCAAAGACACTAGATGCCAGTGGATAAAAGCATATCCGACTCACTGGCTGCAATTAGAGGAAATAAACAGAGAATAAAATGTGGGAAGGAACTGTCTGTATGTATGGCATTATGTTTTTGTGAATAGAGGCTGCACAAGCTCAATAAGTGATGGAAATTATATCATGAAGATCCATAGGTATCTCATTGTTGATCTTATCTCAAAAATTATCTTAGTTTAACAACTTGTCTAATCATTTTCAAGAATTTTCTTCTCTAGTGTCTGATAGGTTCTAAGTTCATTCATCATTTGTATCTGAAGCCCTCCATTTCAACACCCTTTCAAGTGTGTCAACCCTCTCAGAGTACAGGTGCTTTTGGCTTTAGCAACTTTGGTCAGATGCAATCAGGTAAGTGCATTTTATATAATCTTTCTTCATTTTCGATATACCTTTTGACATTTTATTTGTTATATTGTTAATTAAATTTCCCTTGTCTAACAGCTGGTACAAGCAGCCTTGGTGGCAAGCCAAGCATCTTTGGTCAGAATACTTTGGGACAATTGTATGTTTCAGTGTCAATATTTGTTCTATCAATGAACACTCTTGGTCATTCGGAAAAGGCTTTGACATATGTATGTAGTGCTGAAGATGTGCAGTATATCAGATAAAGAAGTTCTAATGTTCTGACAGGTCTGCCAGTCAGAGCTCTGCAGTTGTACAACCAGCCCCTGTTACGAATCCTTTTGGAACTCTACCAGTGATGCCTCAGATGTCAATTGGTCGCACAAGGATGTCACCTTCAATTCCATATGGAATTTCTAGTTTGCCTGTAAGAATGATATATAGCGCCATACCTAAACGAAATATTTTTGTACCTGTTCTGATCTATGTTTGGTTTATAATTGGATGTTGATATGACAATGATCTGCAGTAAAATTGTTTTCATTCCTGATATTTGTTTGTGGTGGCTTTTACTTTGCCTTAGCACTCAGTTTTCACGGACAACTTAGGGAGATGTTCTTTCTGCAATGTGCACGTGGTGACTGACATCATTTTCCAAACAGGTGGTTGACAAACCTGCTCCTGTTACGATATCGTCATTGTTGACTGCTTGGCACCTTTCCCAAAGGCAGATTAGGTTGCCCATAAGGAAATATCAACCTAAAAATGATGGTCCAAAGGTAAAGATGGTTTTTCTAGTGAAACTTAGTACCATAATTCAAACCTATAATAGTTTGGTCCCTAATGGGTTTTCTCTTGGGTATCAATCAATCAGGGCTAATATACAGGAGATTGATACTTATGATAATAAATGCATTAGTTGGTGCTTTTGTATGCAGGTACCTTTTTTTTAGCGATGATGAAGAGACACCCAGTGCACATAAGGCGGATGCTCTTTACGTTGCCAGGGAGAATCTAAGCGATTTGGTAATTCGCCCCTTGGAACAGTGACCTTCTAGAGCAAATCCGGACAAAACATCACCTCCAAAGGATACATCCACTCCACCTCATGGGAATGGTAACTGTGTTCTTCTATTTTTGTACCTGGTATACTTGGGTATGTGGACTTTGGGTTAGAAACATTAGAGAAGATACTCGATTAATTGTAGGGGCCTAGGCCTGGGACAAGGAGTTATCCTGGTAGTAAGAAATTAGATATCTTGCAAGCTCATCTTTTCTGTAAAAGATTTGTTTGAAGGGGCACCTAGTGTTACTTGATCATGGTCAATAGCTTGATTATATAAGTTTCTTGGCCAACTAAATGAATGATTGGAGTCTTCATGGTGTTATCTTCACCTTATATTGCCGTATGGACTTTTTTGATTATAGTGAGAAATACTGGCATTTATGTTGGCGAATTGATTCATTAATACTGGACCTGAAGCATATTATACAAATAAGATAGTCACTTCATAAATCGATTGTTTATTATTTTTCCATCTAAGATATAGGCTTCAATGTCAATTTGCTGAATCTTTTAACACTGTTCTTTATATGTAGGTAAAAGGTCTGAAGCAGCTTCTACCCCTAATTTGTATGGATCAAGTGCGGAGGATAAAGATAGTAAGTCTTTGCTCTTAACGAGAAATTTGCTGTTATCAGTGTTCTCCTTAGCCTGTCTAGGGAATCTCTTCAATTACTAACATTCCTTAAAAATTTCATCTGCTGTTGGATTATTTGTAAGTTATTACCCAAAAATTCTTTATTTTTTAAAAGTTAACAGTTCTTTTTTCCATTTCTTCTTCCTTTATTTTGGGAAGTGGGTTTTAAAGGGTGAATTTTTTCTGCGGTAAGTAGCTGTCAATTCAAATTACACTGAACATGCAGAGACTGACTTTTGGCTCAGTTGTCCCGCATCGGAATGGATTGAGATGTGCAAAGGTTAGGGTGGCAATATGTTAGCTTTGAATTGTGTTGGCATTGAAATCCCAAGCAGGCTAGCATGGCCAAAATAGACCAGCTTGATGCCTTGTATGCTTGTGTTGGATTGGTGGGTTCAGATTTTGGACTGTTGCGGCATAGGTTTTGCAGGGTGCTAACAATTACAAGTCAACTTAAGGGAGGTTGTGAAGAAAATCTCTGGATTCAGCACTTACTATCTAAGACTTTGGTGTTCAATACCAATGTCCTTGTGGTCCAGCAGAGTCTTTTTGCTGCCATGGTAACAACATATATCTACTTTTTGATTCTGGTAGTGTTTCAGTGGCTATGCATGTATTATTTAAATTATAGTAGCTGTGAAAATTGATCAGAAAAAACAAAATATACGCTTTATAATGTTATTTGTTAAAAGATAACATGAGCAGGAAAATGTTCTTAGCTGATAAAGTAGCATGCTGTAAAATTATGGCTAATATTCCATTTGATTAAACTAAACTTTATTAAATTAAACCTAGCAGCAAATTGAATTTACCTCAACTCTGACAGGTGCCACTCGTATGAAGTAGGTTTGGCATTAATGTGCCTTATTTGACTTTTAATTGATCTGTTCTTGCAGATGGTCCAGTTGAAAATGGCCTTGTCAAAGAAGGACTTCATCCTGTTAATCCAAAGCCAAAACCTATTGGACAACATGATGACAATTCTATCCGGAAAGTGGATTCGTACATTACTCTTACTGACCACCGTGCTGGTGAGGTGGCAATTGTTTATGAGCATGGGGCTGGCATTGAGGCACTGATGCCCAAAACTCCGCCACTATGACTATTATACCGAACCTAGAATCCAAGAACTGGTGGCGAAGGAAAGGGCCGAACAAGGGTTTTGCCGTCATGTGAAGGATTTTGTGGTTGGACGGCACGGTTGTGGTAGCATCAAGTTCATTGGGGAGACGGATGTAAGGCGACTTGATCTTGAGTCTCTTATCCAGTTTAACAACTGGGAGGTGATTGTGTATGTGGACGGGAACAAGAAGCCTCCTGTTGGACAAGGTCTTAACAAGCCTGCTGAGGTGATGCTTCTCAACATAAAATGTTTGATAAAAAGAATGGACATCACTATACAGAGGGATTAAGAATTGATAAGTACAAAGAGATGCTCAAAAGAAATGCTGAGGATCAAGGTGCTGAGTTTGTGTCTTATGACCCCATCAAAGGAGAATGGAAGTTCAAGGTTAACCATTTTTTCCTTCCCATTTTTTGGGAGCCTTTTAATTGTCTTGGTTTTAACTGTTCTGGGAAGATAAGATGATGTGGTAGGATGACGTTCATTGTTTGTAATACTTATCTGCTATTGTTATATTTTCTGGCTGGCATAGGCAATCCGTGTGTCAAAACGCCAAAGTGGTGATTTTGCGTCAAACAAATGTATCTCTCTCGAAAATGGAGTGGATTAACACGTGGGAATGTCCTTACAATTTCATGTTTTGTGTTTCTAAGAGCATTCTGATCCCTTTCAAAAATGCCTCATTGTTACATAACCCATAGGCTCATTTACACAAAGTCATTTCCGCCTGCATATTCATACTCTCTCTCTCTCTCTCTCTCTCTCAGGGGACTAATTCATGGGAACTTGAGTCACAGGCCATTAGAAGATTCAAAGGTCACGCGGAATAGTAAATTAAGGAGATTTCTTAACAGACTTGGTGTTGGCTTTGCATATATGGATGGAGGTTTTACCATAGCAGGCTATCAGTAACTTGTTTTAAAGCCTAGGTACTATTTTAAAAAGAGTAATGTTATCTTGAGATCTAAAAAATTAATCCAATTTGGTGACTTATGTTGTGTTTAGGATAACTTTGATTTCAAAGATGAACATGGAGCAATGACTTCTATCAAGGGGCATTTTAAAAATGAGCTTTCAATAAAAGCAACTTATCAAACCCTCACCAAACATGATAAAGCTTTTTTTAAATGGGGTTTATATGTCTTCCATTATTTTTTTTCTTCAATTCTCTTTAATACAATGTTAGATGAATGGTATGCGTAAGATTTTAAATTTCAATGGATGAGATGTTTCTTCATTCATTTTGTTGTTGGTGGAGTATTAATTATTGTTAAGGAATTTTCTCACAAGAAAAAAAATCTTGTCCATTGAAATTCAAAATTTTACATATGTCATTCATCTAATACTATATTGAGAAGAATTAAAGAAAACAGATAACGGAGGGGATCCGAATTTAAATGGATTTCTAAGACTCAAAAAGTCTATTTAGAGGTCCTGTGCAATATACCTTTAATAATGTGTGAAGTGATAGATTGTAATAAAAAATGAGAAATATTATTGAGAAATAATTTATGGACATAATTTGAGAACATAATGAGTTGTCACTAATAAAATAATAATGAATTCATTTAATGCTACAATGAGATCCATCATTAAATATTATTTCACTATCATTTCATTGGTGAAAACTCATTATAATCTCAAATTATGTCCCAATAACATTAGTGATAAAAAATTTCAGCTGTTAAGATCATAATAATAAGAGTAATGTTAAATGGATTTAAAAATTAGGCTTAAAAATTAGATTTAATAATCTCAACTATTGAATAGGTAGTGGGTCCCAATAAATGGTGGGACTCACAGTAAAATTAATGCTTGAGATTATCGAGTCTAATTTTTAAGTCTATTTTTAAATTCATTTATCATTAGTTTAATAATAAATCTAGGACCCAACAAGATGACTCGCTCTTTACCTATGAAGACCTCAAGAGTGGGCTAATTAAAACGCAAACCAAGGACTTCACACTTTTCAAAGTACTGATGTTGTTCGTTTGGGTCGTCATTCATCGTCAAGATCCGGTGGCCTTCTATTCCACACTCCCTGAGAAACTAATAAGAAGTACAGTTATAGCCGAAAAACTTTGAAGTAAAATCCGAAACAGGGTGCAAGTAGTAAAACATCAACTTGTCTTAGATAGATACATTTTACGTACAGGAGTACTCAAACCGCTACTCCGGACCTCTCTGACTCTGGGTAATAGTTATTAGGATGTATCACTTTACGAGTTATGTCTTTGGTGACAACCAGTGATCTCATCGGAGGATGAAGGCGGGAAACAAGTAGCGCGGCAAGTAGGGCAAGAGGAACGGGAAGATAACCATGTCTGAATGCATTGAACGTGGAAGCCGTGGTTACACCTGCCTAACACTCGAATTTCCTCGCCATCAATGAACTCAGAGAGGCAGATGGAGCACTCTGCCTCTGCTCCTACCATATTCATCCCTGCAGAAAACACCATTGTGGCCAGGGAGCAGAGGTCTGGCTTGGATTGCTGTTCATCTACTACCCCTTGTTCTTCTGGTCCATGGTGTACTGTGCGGCGATGACGCAGGAGATAGCGAATGGTAGCATTGAAAGCTAGAGCTGATATGAGAGCACAGAAGAGGATGGTGAGGATCATGACAGTATTTGTTTTGAATTCCTTGGAGTTGGAGTAAGGCCACCAGGGACATGTGCGGGCGTCGCATTTTGCTGGTTTTGGTGGTGTTGCTCTTGAAAACGAGATGGGAGGAGATAGGTGGATGCCCAATTCAACACCCGGTACTTCTGGCACTGGTCGCATTAATTGGGTCTTTGATCTCTCTTTCTTATGATTTGATGCAAAAATTCTTTGAAGAATAGGTAGTAGTTCTGAGCTATCTGATCACTAGTGTTGGCGGCTGGGACGAGCTACTAGATGCTCCATGTTTGTGTGTGTGTATGTGTGTTTGAGAGAGAGAGAGAGAGATTTGCAGACTCAGCTGGTGATACTGAATTTATATCCAAAAAACAGTTTAAGAGATAAATATGTTCGCCAGGAGGTTTTACGTCATGGTCCAAAAGCAGCCATTTTACTGGGCAATTGTTGATTGGAATGCCAAGTTGTAACTTGTTTGAGTAGATTATATCGGTTAGGGTATGTTTCTCACGTAATCTTAAAGCCTTATCCTCGACATTTAAGAGAGAAACAACAAAAAGTGTGGACTAACGTAGTAACTTATTGCATGGGGAACAAGAAGTTTGACAAAAAAAAAAAAGCAATGCTACTAAACCTTATTTAGGAATTTAATGATATAGTTTCAATATAATCATTAGATTAGTTATGAGTTTTAATATTAGATAAAACTCACAATCAATCCAATAGTTGTACATCATTAAGTCCTCAAATAAAGTCTAAATAACATTCCCGAAAACAAATCATTTTTTCTTTGAGCAATGTAATTATTATTAATTATTAGATTAATCTAATGATATGATGATGTGATGTGATTTTTCTTTGGAGATCTAATGATGTGATTTATTGTAATTATTAGATTAATTATGAGTCTAATATTAAATAAAACTTATAATCAATCTAATGATTGTATATCATTAGGTCGTTAAATAAAATTTCTAAATTAAGTCCAAATAACACTTCTGCATTTAACCCACGGATATCTTCTTGTCCTGTCTCGAGGATTCAAGTCTCGGTAGGGAGAGAGACGATTGCATAGCTCACACCGTTTGACCCACAGGAACAATGAAAATAAAGAGTTCAACCAGAAAATAGATAATGACTCTTCTCGAAGTGTATTAGGATATTTTGTTTGGACTCTAAAATGATTGAGGTATTTGGAGGCCGATCGCTAGATCAAATAGGATTAAAAAAAAATTCATTAGCTAATTTTTTTTTAAGATTAAGTTTCTATTGAAAAGTCAAAGTAATAACTAACGCTCTTTATAATTACAAAAAATAATGACAATATAATCACTTAATTTAAACACATATTTTAAAATATTACGTCATCATAATGTATATTTTTTTCTATAACCATAAATCGTAAGATATGTATACTAAAAAAAACAGATATGTAATTAAAAAAAGAGTAATGCTATTGAGATATAATTTATTGACCTAGTTTATTGATATAATATATTATGACATTTAGATTGACCGTAGACCCCATCAAACATTGAAATTTGATATTGATATAATGATTTCAATGAAATCACATCATTATCATATTTTTAAGTCTAAATAACATTAGTCTTAATATATATATATATATATATATATATATATATATATATATATATATATATATATATATATATATATAAACACACACAAACACACACACATACACTTTCGAGCTAAAAAATAACATGTACGTAATAAAAAAAATAAAAAATAATGGATTCGTAATAAAACATATAAAAAATAACAGGTACATAGTAATCATCAGACAGATACACTAAAACACAGATCGTCAGACAGGTACACTAAAATATAGATCGTTAGACAGGTACATTAAAATATAAATGGTTAATATACTTTCTTTTACATAAACACAGATCGTCAGATAAATACACTAAAACACAAATTGTCAGACGTTATCATAATGTCCAAATTGTCAGATTCATGAGTTTGAATTTCAAAACTGATAGACTACACCGCAAAAACCTTAATAACAAACGCAAAAAAAAAAAAAAAACTAATTATATTTTAAGCCGAAATCATATAATGAGAGCAAAATAGGGAATGAAAATCAGTAACTAACCAATTCATTATTAACATTCGTGCCAACATAGGGACCGCATGCAAGGTTTTTTAAAAATTAGATGACCTTTTTTCATACAGAAAATTCGGTAAAATTAAAATTAGTTTACACACCAAAGGAATAACCTTAGGCTAATTTACTAAAAATTATATCCCACTCGTGATGTTTGGTGTAATTGAACAATTTTTTCATAAACTGTTTTCTCCTTTTCCTTCATTTGCCTGAATTAGTGATATGGGAGAGATCAGTAAAAATCTTGCCTTATTTAATATTATTCTAGAGTCTGAAGCTCCAAAGCACTACTAATAATAAATGAATAATGTTATTGAGATATAATTATTATCACCAATGCTAATAAATTTGTTAAACGCAATATAAAATGAGAGAGATAGAGAGAGAGAGAGAGGGGGCCTATTTCCATTCCATTATTAAATTTGTTCAGCCTTGCATGGTACGGCTATATGAGGTGTTTTTTCTTCTTATTTTTTTTGTGGGGATGGGGGGAAGGCCCACAACGGCTATTCGAATCCAAAGTGTTGCCTGCAAAAACTGATACGAAACCCTCTCATTCATCATTTTTTTCGGCTCCGTCCGTGAATACTCTCAATGCCCTCAATGAAGGGCAATTGCAGGGTGATAGTGACCGACAATTATAGCTGAGAGCAACTACCCCAAAGTCTTTGTCGAGAGACGCCGGGGGTGGGGGGGACTGATGAGCCTTTTGGTTAACAAATGCGTTAGGTGATGTGGGACACGGAGTATGATCAGTTCAATTTATTTGTCTACGAGCAATGCTAACGTGATTTAATTTGTGATGGGACTTTCTGAAATGCTCCATGATGAAGACACGTGTCCTCGGTATTACCAAAAATACTGTTGCTAAGATCAAGCACCATCGGCGCACAAAGTCTTCGCCCCGAGGTACCCCATATAGGATCATGCATTCAGTATGTTTTACAACCGACACGTGGTTTCGGTCTGATATGGTACCTCGGTCGGCATACCTCCCTCGGTTCCGAGATGAGCCTTTCCTCGGTGCCGAGAGGTACCCCGTCCTGGACGCCTCCTCTACTCCAGGATAAGCTATTGACGTACAGGTCATTAGCCTAGACTAGTCTAGACTATTCATCATGACATCGTCTTACACAATTAGTGTCAGAACGTACTGAAATGCAGGGGTCACAGCCAATAAGGGATAGACGCGTGACATATGATATCAAATCGAAGACAGAGAAACCGCATGTCATTGCTGACACGCGACTTGGGAAAGCAAACTATTAATTGCACCATTCCCTTGATGAGACCGCATTCAATGCGGTAAGGCTCGGAAATGAAAGGCAATAAATGCTCCTAATACAAAGCATTTATTGCATCCTCCCCGAGAGGAATACATTGTACCGTCGGCATCCCGATGACCCAGCATTGATTGCTCGGGACCCCGAGTAGTTAAGAAGAGAAGACATTCCTCATCAGAATTAGTGCGCACACTGCCTATACCTAATGATCACCTACTGACTACACTGACAGCAATCATGAAATTTTGAGGTATAAATACTCCTTGCAAAAGGCAAGACGGGTATGCAACAAAAAACTCTTTACTACAATACTCACTTAGTGTTTTCTCCTTCCTCTCTCTTTCTAAAAGACTGACTAGATCGTCGGAGGGGATACGCCAGAAAATACTCCGGCGCCCTTCTAACTTGTTCTTCTTTGTTCCAGGAACCTCTTTCAGCCTTACTGGATCGTTCTTCCGTTCCCAGGGTCTCCCATTGCCGTTCCAGGTTACCACCGGACTTCGCAGGCTGTTCCAAGCAGCGTGTTTGGTCACTCAACCGGCTCACTCGAGTTCACCAAGGGAGAGATCTGTTCTCATTTTTTATATTGTGCAGGATCTTGCACGCACAATCTGGCGCCGTCTGTGGAAAACGACTAGTTTTCCTAGTTTTTTCTCTATAAAGAACAGTGACCATGGTGAACACTCGACAGAAAGGGAAAGGACCCCACCAAAGAATTCTCGAGTTACAAGCTCCCTGTCATCATGGAGGAAGGGATCACACCAATACGAATAAAAGTGCCTCTACTCGGTCAAGAGGGGTAACCCCTCAAACCAGTATGAGAATCAGGTCAGGGGGATCAGCCCCCTTGGCTCGTCAGCTGGCGGAGGTGATTGAAGAAAAATTTGGCGATAGATTACGTCAGCTGGAAAAGGACAATGTAAACGTCTTAAGCCGGCTCAACGAGTTTGCCGCCTTTGGCGAAGGATCGAGGGATTCATTCCTGTCTCGTGGGCTTCCCGCCCGGGAGGCGGAAACGAAGGATCTAAGAAACCACCTAAACAACAAAGCAGAAAGCTCTAGGGCCCCAAAGCGACCCAGAGCCGGCGAGCATCATCATGACAACCATTCAAGGAAAGCAAGGCCATTGGCCCTGGACGACCTCCGACGAGGTTTGTCCAGACGGAGGAAGGGAGTTGAATCCGAGGAGGACTCAACCCAATCCACACGACGCCCAGGAGATGAGGGGCTTACCGATGAACTCAAGGACTTCAGAAGGCATCCCGTCAGGGAAGAAATTGACCTCAGAGCCCGGTTAGACTCCAGGAGAAAGGGTATGGCTGTCCAGGATGAGGCCGAGGACGAAGTCATACAAACACCCTTTACAAGGGAGATCAGTGAGATGGAGGTTTCAAGAAAGTTTGTCGTGCCGCGGTTCAAAACTTATGACGGGCGGTCCGATCCCGAAGCCCATGTTAGACAATACAAGCAGATGATGTCCCTCTATCATTCGGACCAACGGTTTCTCTGCCGAGTGTTTCCTATGAGCTTGGGAGACTCTGCGATGAAGTGGTTCGAGGCGCTTCCCCCCAACAGTATTGGGTCCTGGAAGGAATTGACTAAGCAGTTCTTGACTCGATTCATTACGGGGAGTAAGCGCCCCAAAGACATTGGATCATTGCTGACCCTCAGACGGAGGAAATGCGAGACTATTCGTCAGTACGCCATTCGATACTGGGAAGAGGTTAATGAGATAGAAGGCTGCTCGG